TGCAATTTCAGCAACTGAGCTTTGTAAACTCTTGTCTATGGCTCAGCGTTGTGTGTAAACTTCACCACAGAATGGCTTTTTCAACCAACTCTGCCTTGGTTTGTGTTAACTTCACAAGCACCAAGTTTATTCTTCCTGCTCCTTGTATTTGTACAAGGTCCAAACAATTGAACTTTGATATCCCTGTAGTGAGTACATCTGGTTTACAGGCCAGGGATTGTTCAAAGGATCAAAATGACAACATCCCTTCAGCTCTGACAGCAAAGTGACATTGCAGAAATTTCATTTCTTTTTCTTTTACCATCTTAGCTCTTTTCCTCCTCTAATCTATCTTCTGCTCCTCAAAGAAAAAGGAACAGGGCCTTTTGTTCCTCTATGGTTAGCCCATTCCTTACAAAAACATTGCCCAAATCTTCCTTGGCTAACAGTTTTCTTTTGTTTTTTTGTTTTCTTTTTAATTTCTTTAACTCATGCATATTTACACAAGGCTGTTTTACTTCCTGTTCCAAACAAGGGCGCAGTTATTTTACCTGCCATCCGCTGAGTTAATAAACTTGCTTCTCTGGCAAACGTAGTTGTGGCCCATCCAGAATGAAGGAGAGATTCAGAACTCAGGATTTTCTGCAGGCAAAACTTGTCCAACCAGATTTCCTATTAATAGCTGAGTTGAAATCTGCATAAAACACTAGAAGACAGGGTATCTATTGTTTTGGGCTGGTGCACATCCTTCTGTCTTACGAAGGTTACTCTGCTTCTTGTTCAACAAATTAAGACACTGTTTTCAGCAGTTCAATCAGAATGTTGATTGAACAGAAAATTCAGAAGGAAAAATAATATTTGGAACCAACAGAGATTATGCCACCACAAATTTAAATATGCATATAAGAAATAACTGCAGTATTAAGTTCCCAAATTCAAGGACATATAATCCCTGAAATATCCCTTTATACCATGAATGAGCATCTTCTCCATGAGTCAACTTCTGATGAATATCTACATGAGGGACTTCACAAGAATTTATAGTTGAGAAAGATATACAGTACTTCCAAAGATAGAATGCCATTTCTCACATATTCCTAAAAGGGGAATTACTGTTCATTTAACTTCAGTCATATTTTCTACTTCAAAATATATGAAATGACCCTCATGGTCTCCTTAAAAAGAGATTTAACAAATCCAATCATTAGGTGTCTGAAGTAAGAGCTCTAGGAATGCAGGTCAAGTTATTGAGTCCCTCTGGCTAGATGAAAATGTTCTCCTAGGTTATGCCTATTATAAACATTGTTCTTTGCATTGAAGAATCTCTAACTGAATTTGAGATCAAGGAAGACTTTTAATTCAATTACACTCCCATTCAGGTTGTGATCTTGAATTGCAATGTAAAGAACTTCGGAATCAGGTGGATACCATCATGAAGATTATTAAAGGTAAGGCATTAGAAGAAGGGGTTAGGCACTTCTGGCATGTGTGTTTCCACATCTTGATCTAGCTAACAACTGTGGGTTTCCCTGCTATAATTTTCCATCCAAATATGAATCAGGAACAACCCTATTTGGCTTTCAAGGGAGCTCTGAGATCAGTGGTCTCCAACAGTGGCTCTGATAACACAACAGGAATTCTCTCCTGTGGGTTTCCTCATTGTTTATTCACCACTGATAATCCTGGACTTACAACACTTTATTTAGTGACCTTTTGAAGTTCCAATGGCACTGAAAAAAGTGTCTTAGGACTGCTCTTCACACTTACTATCATTGCAGCATCCCCATGGTCACATAATCGTAACGTGGGGCATAACTCACTTAACAAATATCTCATTTGGCAACAGAAAATGTCAGTTCAATGGTGACCATTCCCCACCATTTCTAAATGGTGTAGCTAAAATTCAGGGGCAGCATCTGAAAAGTAGAAGAGGAATTGAGGGGCCCTTGATGCTCTCTGAGGTTGGCTGTTTCCTTGCAGACATTTCATTACCCAACTAGGTAACATCTTTGGGGTTAGACCAGCACTGATAACGTTACCTAGTTAGGTAATGAGATGTCTGTAAGAAAACAATCAAGCTCAGAGAGCATCATGACCCCTAAATTCCTCTTCCATTTTTCAGGGGCTGCCCCTGAATTTTCACTACACAATTTAGAATGTACATTTTGACAATGAAAGTAATAAACCCACAGCAGTGGGACATCACTGCTTCATTGTCCTGAATGAGAGGACAGACAACCATCACCCTTTAATGCTTTAATTTGGAAACCCTGAATGGAGCAGGATGCCCACACTAGGGTTATCTCTAAGGTTAGAATGACAAAAAGGAGAGAATGTTGTTATTTGTTAGAATAACAAAAAGCTACCTGTAGAGCAGATTTCTATCTTTTATATGTTTCCTTTTTTAAAAAAACTTTTTACTACAAAGTTATTTTGGACATCGGAGCACAGGTCCATCGTTTGATGAGCTATTTTCCAGACCATGTTTTATACTTTATTGAAAAGTCCACATAGAAGTAATGATGGCACACTGGCACCTTGCAACATAAATAAACATGGCATTTGAAAGTTTTGCAATTATCTTTCCTTCTAGTTCTCCTTGGTCCCGATAGAACGGTTGTTGGTCATAAAATTTTCAAAATAGAAGAACATCAGGGTACTTTTCAGAGAGGCAAAATTGGCTGCGATGACAACCTTGCCTTGCCAAGGAATAATGAAGAGAACCAAGCCCTTGAAGATTTATTAAAAAGGCCTGACCAAAAGGCATTTCTGGGAATCACCTACAACACAGCTGAAAATGGGTTTGAAGATCTCAACGGCCATCCCCTACAATTTTTCAACTGGGCTTCAGGAGAACCGAATATCCTTGGGGGGGGGAAGTGTGTGACAATCAACACAGAGGGAAAGTGGCACGTGGAAGGTTGTCTGTATGAAAGCGCAATCATCTGTGAAGTTGACATCTAACAGATGTTGGGTTAGGGGAAGGAAAAAGTTTCACCATAGAGTTGAAAAAGAAAGCTTACCCTGTGTATCACACATACAGTCTAGCATTTGGCAAGTAAGTCCTAATCCAATAGCTTCCCCTGTTTTCGGCAAGGAGATCTGGAGTCAAGTTTGACTCTGATGACATCAGCCTGGTCATTCCAACAGAAGTTGTCTTTTTCCACTTAAACCAACCATCTTGGAATCCTTCCTCAGTCCTCCACTGAAATAGTGACCAGACTTGATGCTGCTTAGCTTTTACAACTCAGCGCCCAATAGATGTTGCCATCTTAGCCTACCTTAGCCTAGATAGCAAAACCGGCATAGAAATGTAGCAGTTTATAGATCCATTTTTCCTCCATTTCTAAATAAATGCATTTCCTACCAGCATTTGTTGCTTGAGACTCTATTTTCATTTACATTGAGAGGTAGCTTATTTGACATGATCCTACAATACCCTTGCTACATTTCCCCCAAATCCTTGGACTGTTATGCAAAGGATTCTGCAGAGCCTTGGTGGTGGTGCTAGAATTCAGGGATATTCCTATATCAGGGAATATTATTTTGCATCGAGAGATCCAGATTTGAATTTAAAATGTATTACAGTTATTTTGTTGTGAGCCATGCAGCCCAAGAGGTCAGAGGTGAACCTTCATAAATCCCAGATAGCTTAGTAAAAGAAATTTGGCCTGGTGGGTTAATCAAAAGCATAATTGGACAATTGAACACATCTGTCTTAACATGCCCACTTCTTCTTGGGCACTCCACTGAGTCAACATGGGCATTCTTACTTGGCTGGGTCTCCACTGGTGTTTCTCTCCCTCCACTGGTCTGCCAGTGCTATTCCCCCACCCTTTCATCCTGTCATTCTCATTTGACCCTCCTGTCCTAGACCCAGTCAAAAGCTTGTTTTAATATCGGGTTGTTTGATTGGAATTAAAATATCTGGGTTATCTCACTGAAGACCCATGGGAATTGTTCACCCTAGTGATTTTCAGCATCCTTTGCAATCCTCAGCTTTTGTTTTCACATTTACTCCCAAATTAAATTTGCTTTTCATTGCCATAACCTACAGAAAATCTGACAGAAGATATATTCCAAGCTCAATCAGGGGGAAAAGGCACCAGAAAATGAAAAGCGGGAGAATGAAATTCCTGTCGTGGAAACCAGCCATTTTCCTCTCAATGTAGCATCTTGGCTTATTAGTGTCTGGTCTGATCTCTGTTACACCTTTTCCTGGCATAAATCTAACAGAGCGCAGACTGAATGGCATAAGATAGCAGTCAGTACTAAAGCAGCCAGCTATGATCTAGCACATCAGAAAGTCAGTCTGGTTGAGCCTTGAAGGCACCAGGCTAGAAAGTAGGATGTCAGAGTTCCAATGGATGCTCTAATTCATGAGCCTCGAGCCAAGTTTCAAAAGAAATCCAATTATTTATTAGGAGCAATATGTCGACACTTGGCCTACATAATTTACTGCCCACCTGTGACCCTGTTTCCCTGCTCCTCCCAGGGCATGTTATAAATCACATTCTCCAACTACACACTTTCAATGGCTGTAGAAAACACGCCTCTCTGGCTGGCTCTGGTAACCTGGGAGAAAGCTATGCGTGGAATGTGCTTCTGGTCATAGAAACTGAACTGCTCCATCAGATCTTCCCGCCCCTCCTTCTTGTGGCAACTCAAGAGCAAGCCAGGAATACTTTATGAGTTGACACAGGAGACCATAAGTTCAAGTGTCATTTTAGGCATAGCTGCTCGTTAATCGGGAGCCTCTTAAATCGCCCACCCAGTAGTGCTGAGGGCAAGACATTAAAGCGAGCTAGGGAGAAAGCTCTTCTATACTTGGGAATGATTAGAGTGTAAAAATAGGAAGCCATCCATTGCACCAAATATAAAAACCCAGACTCCTTGCTTATGCTTCAAAACTAGCCAACAATACTTGCTTTGTGATTAATACGGTCTTACAAGAGTCAATAAGGAAGCAATGGCCTAAGTGACACCAAGCTGTGCTGAAAAATGTGGTTTGACTATTGTGACTCAGAACATTTATTCTTAAAATGTGAATGTGAAATGTGAGACCTCGTTACACAAGCCATTGTTTATAAATGGGAACTTTAAAGTTTGCTATAATTATTCCACCCAAGACGCCTGTGAAACACTGGAAATCACAAAGTAAGTGATCTGATTTTTGACTCAACCCTGAAAAGGGATGCTTCGTGTAAAGTCATTGGTGATTTCCACCCCCCTTAAATGTGTCAGTCAATCAGCCAAGAATCTTCAGAGATATTTCTGTGAGCCTGGGAATCTATCTAATCTAGGGTTTAACGTCAAGTATTTGCTTTATAAAGAGCTAGAGTTAGGTTAAAAATGGCTGCTGTATTTTTCTATGCAGACTGCTGATTATTTCTAGATCTGTGCAGAACTAAGAGTTTATTTGATTGAGCAATAATTTTTATTTATGGAAGACCTCAGAAAGGTAAGCCTCATTTCTATGTGCTATTTCAATGCCTTTAAATACAAGCATTTCCTTTTGCAAGTCAGGATTTAATTCCATGTATGCTTTTCACAGTAATGAAGGCTGGGGTTGAAACAGGTGGCGTCTTATTCCATCAGCTATTGAATAGATCAGATAGATTGATAGATAGATTGATTGATTGATAGATAGATTGATAGATGGATTGATAGCTATAGATCAAGGGTCTTCAAACTGGCAAGTTTAAGACTCATGGACTTCCAACTCCCAGAATTCCTGAGCTAACATGACTGGAGGAGGAATTCTGGGAGTTGAAGTCCACAAATCTTAAAACTGTCAAGTTTGAAGACCCCTGATATAGATAGATGACAGATTGATATATAAGATATAGTTATAGAATATATGCAGAGAGAGAGAGAGACAGAGACAGAGACAGATTCCCACATTTTTAAAATAAATTGAAGGTATCACTACCTTATCCAGAAGGTTGAAATGAGAGAGCGTGATTGCTTCATCCTCACCCAGCATAATCAAGTGATAATTTGAACAATGACTTCAGCCTGGTTCTTCCCAAAGTTCAACAGCAATTTTATTCCACAAACTGAAGCATCATTGCAGGTTCAAAATATCAATCTATCTACCTACCTATCTTTTATCTATCATCTATCTACGTATCTATCTATCTATATCTATCACCTACCTAGCTATCTAGCACTGATATAGCTATCAGGTATAATTTCTGCTGCATTTTTCTTCTCTGAATCCCATCTTTTAAAGATTGCAAGAAACACAGAGGAGCTGAGGGACTGCTGAAGGATCTCTTCTATTTAGCCCATGATGAGTCACTCTTCAAGGTATTTTCTGTTTATCTTCTACGTAAGAAGGAAACTTTGTCTCCTGCAACAGATTTTCAATTACCTGTTTATTGTTTTATAATCTTCCTGATTCTCCTTTTCAAGCGGCCACGTACTGGCAGTCCAAATCTGGTTTGATTTTCTACTGTGGCACCTTTAACACTCTTCATTTCTCACTTCCTTAAAATCAAATATTCCTGATTAGAATTGGGTACAATTGGGAGAAGATTCCAAAATAGTAAAGAAAATATGTAGCTCAAGGCTCAGTTGTTAGGACTTTGGTGCAGAGGTGGTATTCAGCAAGTTCTGTCTCCCGAGTCCCAGCTGATGGTCGAGTCTCCTTTTGTTGCACTGCACAGAAGAGTGGAGCTGGAAAGCAGGTTAGTGGGGTGGGGAGGGAATGGAGACTTTACAGTATCCTTCCCCCGCCATGCCCATCAAGCCACACCCACCAAGCCATGCCACGCCCACCAAGCCATGCCCACCCAACTGGTAGTAAAAAAAATTTAATCCTATCACTGCTTTGGTGGCACCTGAGTTTCTTTCTCTTTCTGAGTGCACTAATGAATTTGGGAATGAAATATCCACAGATACCCAACAAGGAATCTACACTCAACTGTTCAGATACTTAGAAGACCCTTTAGAAACAGCATCAAAATTGATAGAAAAGATAAGAGACATATCGAAAGGTGGCTGGTTTGAAAATAAAGACAAGACAAGACAAAGGTTTTGACAAAGAATATGCTATTAAGACAAAAGGAAGAACTGACAGACCTATTGAAAATTCAAGTCATGAATAAGATCAAGTACTTGGGGATATATTTGACAGCAAGATGTAGTACATTAAAAGAGAATAATTATATTAAACTTAAACAGCAGATAGCGCTAGTTTTGGCGAAATGGAAAAACTTACAACTCTCACTAATAGGGAGAAGTTCAACAATCAAGATGAATATATTACCCAGAATTTTATGTTTGTTTCAAACAATTCCAATTAGGCTTGGAAAAGATTATTTTGAAGATTTAAATAAAATTGTGTTGAAATATATATGGCAAGGTAAGAAAGCGAGAATAAAGTTAAAACTTTTGCAAGATGCTAGAATTAGAGGAGGATTTGTTTTGCCTAATTGGGAATTGTACTACCAAGCTACACATCTGATGTAGGCTAAGGAATGGATAATGCTAAGAAATGCTAGATCGTTGACATTAGAAGGACATGATCTATTGTTGGGGTGGCATGCTTTTTTATGGTACAAAGGAACAAAAACACAGGGGTATTTTAGAAGACATTATATACGGGAGTCTCTGTGGCTAAACTGGGAGAAGGTTAAAAGACAATGTTATTTGAAAATTCCAGTCTGGTTATCCACTATTGAAGCATTTTCTTATCCTATAATATACAAAAAGGAACAAACAGTTAGATATGGTGAAATACGGAATGAAAAGGGTGAGCTTAAATCTATGCAAAAACTAGAGGAACAAGGTATAAAGATGAATTGGTTTTCATATGTGCAAATACATTCAAGCCGGAAAACAAAGTGCAGGAGGAAGTTAAGAAGTGAATGTTTTGGCTGACTGGGACAAGAAGCAACAACCAAGGTATCCTGGAATTTAAATTTTATAAAAGATACATTGCTCCCAAAGAAGACTCGGAAGCAGCAAATGAAAGTGAAAAGTGAAAGTTTTTTGTTTGTTTTTCACTCTCCTTCCTTACGTTGACAGCGAAGAGAGCTGAATGAGAAATCGGAAAAACCTGCTTTGGCACCAATAGGTAATTAAACTGGAAATATAATTAAATGCCAAGAGGACAATAAAGATTTCTGAACATTAAAAAATTCTTTTTGTTATAAGTGGGATGGGAGAGGAAAAGAATAAGATCAGGATTTGGAAGGAGGAGTCTGCCTGGAATTCAGAAGAATCTGAAGTTAAATCTTAATAAGACTTTTAAAAGATACATTTTAACTGGAACTTTGCAACTAAATAGTAACCCCAGGAAGAGAAAGTGAAAAAAGAAGAAAATGTTAAAAGAATCAGTTTGTGTGTATTTGGATTGCTTGGTGACTTTGGGATTTCTGGAAATTATATTTGAATGACTAAAAACAATTGGGTGGTTGTTTTAAAAAAAAAAATCTACAATGGCATCACTTGTGGATGAACTGAAAATGGAATTTAAAAAATATAAAGAAGAAACACAAGAAGGGAAGGACTCTTTTGGCTCCGTTTTCCAATTTTTAGAAATGGCGATCTGTACCTACAAGAAAGTACAAGAAATGACTGTGCAACAAGAAGATTGGGACAAAGAAGAAGCCATCTTTAATGAACAAGTAACTCTATCTGGGGAAGAAAGGGGAAAGAGAATGGAGAATTTAAGATCTAAAAAAAACAGGGGAAAAGGGGGAAAAATAATGTGAAAAGTGGATAAAATGTTAGAAAGCAACAGAAAAGGGGAATACGGAAGAGGGAAATGGAGGTGGAGAGACAAGGGGGTAAAAAGGGGAAGAAAGGGAAGAAGGAAGGGAAGAGAAGTTACAAAGTTTTAGAGCAAGATGTGAAGAAACAGGACTTATTCAGAGATAATGGGTGAAAATTTAACTTAAAAAGGGATTCTGTAAAGGTACATAAGATTGTATTGTTATATTTTGTATTAGAAATAATGTTAGAAAATTGGAAACAACATATGATTAAAAAGAGGGATAAAATAGTCAGTGTAATTCAGTGAAACTTTTGTGAATAAAATAAATGAGATGAAATAAATGAGAGAATTGAATTAGGAAGGAATGGGAACATTTTAACTACTCAATGTTTTATAAATTATAAGTGAAGTGGGGGGGGGGAGTAACTATGGAAAGTTTATAAGTGTCCCCAGAGAAGTATGATATCTATTTGAAAAGTAATGTGTAAAATGTTTAAGATTTAAATGAATATTAATATTAATGATAGAATTGAATTGGTATGGATTGTTGTTTTAATTATATTATATATTCATAATTTTTTTCTTTTTTTAAAATACAGTGTGTAGTTTTAGAATGTACCAAGCAGAATCCGAACAGAAGTTATGTATTATATTCAGTGTTATAATTTTAGGGGAAAGATATAAAGGTGTCATACTCCAATCAGTGATTACTGTTTAATGAGAAAAGATAATAGACAGCTGAAATAGGACAGACAAAGAATATAAGTATAATGATTTGAATTAAGATGAAATAAATAAAATAAAATTAAGAAAGTTAAAAGAGGGGAGAAGCTATATAGAAAATATAGAATGGTAATAAGATATGGAATGTTATATAAAAATGAGCATGAACTTAAATTTGTGTCTGTATGAAGAGATGTAACCTGGGATCAAGCTGCTTTCAAAAAAGATGTTTTATGTTTTTATGTTTTATGTTTTATTTCTTTATGTTTGTTTTTAAAAATCAATAAAAAAATTTTTTTAAAAAGATGTTTTACAGATGGCATTTTCCCCCAACAAGAATAGCAAGAATGTTCAAGAATAAATCCGAAAAATGTTGGAAATGTCATCAGACACCTGGCTCATTTTACCATATGTGGTGGACTTGTGTGGATGATAAAAAATACTGGACTAAAATCCACATGTGGTTGGAAAAAATGACAAAAAAAAATATAGACTTGAAACCAGAGATATTTTTATTGGGAATTTTACCTGAAATATAAAGTAAAGACTTGAAATACCTGATTGTAAATGTATTAACAGCGGCTAGGATTGTATTTGCTAAAAACTGGAAAAATGAGAAGATACCATCACAGGAAGAAATCATCAAGAAAATATTGGAATGTGCTGAAATGAGTAGATTGACATTTGAAATTAGAGAACAAAAGGATAAACAATTTTATAAAATTTGGGATCTTTTCTATCAATGGTTAGATAACAAAGTACAGTAATGAAATATGTAGATTTCTAGAAAATAATAAATATATATAACGATGTACTTCTTTCTTATTATAACTACAAAATGAATTTAGGATAGATTTGGGATGATAATATGAACTTATAAAATAAATTAAGTAAATTATGGCTATCTTGTAAAACATGAATGAATAAAAGTATAGTCAAATGATTGATCAATAACGATACTAAGGTATTTAATTTTTGATTGACAATATGAGTTTATATGTAATGTAATTGTAATTGAAGACTACGAAATGGAAGCACAAAACAATTTGTAAACCAACCGGCACACTGTATGTCCACCTATGGAAGACGACTTGATGTTTTTATGTTTTGTTTGTTTTTAAAAAACTAATAATTTTTTTTTAAAAAAAACTGTTCAGATACTAGTTCTACATTCAGATTCTGACAATCCATTTGTCATCTTAGGCCAAACATCCAAACAATGCTGAAATTCCTAATGCTTCTTCAGCTGGCCTTGGAGGTCTCGCTGCAAGAAACCTCCACATCAAGTACTTCTCCTCAAGACTCGCTCCAAAATGCATGCACATTAATTATGTGTGCACCTAACAAAGGGGATCCCAGGAGAGAAAAGGCCATTCAAGGTATCTAAATATCTGCATGAGAGTGTGTTGCTTTTTTCCTGTGCATAGAAGGAGATATTTTGTGCCTTTTTGTAACCCTCTGTGCCAGGTTCAGCTACCATGTTCTGTTCTATTGATGAAAGATTGCAGAGATATGAAGAAAAATGCCAAAATTATGTTAGGATGTACAGGTATTAAAGCAATTTAATAACTATACTGTTATGAACTCCACTGATAACTCAGACATGCTGTTTTGAAAAAGTTTAAGTGGGCAGTAGAGGGGGCGTGCATAACGTCCCTGTCATTATATTTTTATTCTCTTATTCTTGTTCTCGTTTTTGTTTGACAAATTCCAATAAATCAATCAAAATAAAATAAGTAGAAAGTTCAAATCACTATACTCAGATCCTGATTCAATCCTTTGAATCTGTGTAGTCAGTGCATAAGCAATGATTCAGTAATGCTTACTAATGTATATAGATGTTTGCTACATGCCATAATTCTGTCAATAATATCCATGCCTCAAGGGCATCATTTAGTTTACTTTATTGTCATTGCACCTCATACAATGAAATTAAATGCCATCTTCAGTAACTATAAAAATAAAACACGAACACACATCCTTCACATTCTACACAACTGAATCTCGACATTGCATTAATATTGCACTATACAGTAGAATTCATAGGGTTCCTGCCCTGGGATAGAAGCAATTTTTCAGCCTATTTGTCCTTGTTTTTATTATTATCCTGTACTGTCTGCCAGATGGTAATAGTTCAAAAAAAAAAAAAAAAGGGGGCGCCCAGGATGAGATGGATCTTTGAGAATATTTTGAACTTTCTTAAGGCAGCAGGAGCTCTAAAGCTCTTCCAAAGCGGGGAGAGGGCAACCCATGATCCTCTGGGCAATGACATTAACCCTCTGGAGTGCTGTCCTATCTGCCACTGTGAAATTGGCAAACCAGACAGAGGTGCAGTAAGTTAAGATACTCTCTGTGGTGCAGCGGTAGAAGGTCACCAGCAGTTTTCCATTCAGTTGTTGTTTTCTGAGAAGCCTCAGGTAGTATAATCTCTGCCGGACCCTTTTGACCAGGGCTGCAATGTGAGCCCCCCCCCCCCCCCCCCCCCCCCCCTGTGCCCGGGGGCCGCAGGGCGCCCCCCCCCCCCCCCCCCCCCGGTCAGGTCCTCTTTTAGGTAACACTCAGCAACTAAAAACTGGCCACTTGCTGCCTTCGGTCTCCATTTTGTAGTTTGCATGATGATGTTGTGACATGCATGGTGTCACTGGCCCCCCCTCACCCAACCAGTAGAGTAGAAGAAGGCTTAGCAAGAATTGGGAAGTAACAAAATCACTACATGGTTTAAAAAGCTTGAAGTGCAAATGCTATGTAATGAACCTTGGCTGATAATAACACTGTAGGAGTGGAAAGTCTTCCTTTGACTAATTGAACCCATCTGTCTTTCTCTTATAAAAATTACCAGGATTTCAACAGTTTTCAAGTCCATCAGAACTTCTGGCTCTCTCTGCACTAAACAGAGATAAACTGGGGACAGGAACAAGTGGTGAGATTCATTTTCCAGATAAGAAATTTACTGTGATGAAAACATTTTGTGACTCTACCACCATGGGATTCCCCCAAAAGAGCGGGCTGGAGGCCCTTTCAGATTATGCTTTTTCTAAATATGATTTATCTTGAAAACATTCTAGTGAGGTAAGCTAGGGGGAGAACTAGGAATCTGCTTAGCTCCCTTTACTTTAGTGAGATTTCTTGTTACATTGAGCCACAATCCTGCTCAGACCAAATCATAAGATATTAGAGTCACACACCATTTAGACAGCTTCCTTTTAGTCATTGTTTGCTGAAGAAATCGCAATTGGCTTTTCATTTACCCCACCAAATGGTGGGTGGTTCCTGAAGCATGTCGGTTGGGTTGCAACAACTGTGCTAATGTGTTGTGCAATTTCAGCAACTGAGCTTTGTAAACTGTTGTCTATGGCTCAGTGTTGTGGGTAAACTTCACCACATAATGGCTTTTTCAACCGATTCTGCCTTGGTTTGTGTTAACTTCACAAGCACCAAGTTTATTCTTCCTGCTCCTTGTATTTGTACAAGGTCCAAACAATTGAACTTTGATATCCATGTAGTGAGTACATGGGGTTTACAGGTCAGGGATTGTTCAAAGGATCAAAATGACAACATCCCTTCAGCTCGGATAACAAAGTGACATTGCAGAAATCACTCTTTTTTTAAAAAAATTTTTTTTGCCATCTTAGCTCTTTTTCTCCTCTGATCTATTTTCTGCTCCTCAGAGAAAAAGGAACAGGGCCTCTTGTTCATCTATGGTTAGACCATCCCTCACAGAAACTTTCCCCAACTCTTTCTTGGCTCAGGCTCACAGTTTTTTGTTTTTGTTTTCATTTCTTAAACTCATGCATATTTACACAAGGTTGTCTTACTTCCTGTTCCAAAGAAGGGCACAGTTATTTTACACTGCATTAATAAACTTGCTTCTCCGGCAAACATAGTTGTGGTCCATCCAGAATGAAGGAGAGATTTAGAACTCTCTATTTTCTACAGGCCAAACTTGTCTAACCAGCCTTTCTATCAATAGCTGAGCTGAAATCTGCATAAAACACTAGAAGACAGGGTATCTATTGTTTTGGCCTGGTGAACTGCCTTGTCTTGTTACAAAGGTTACTTTGCTTCTTGTTCAACCAATAAAGACGCTGTATTTAGTAGGAAAATTCATAAGAAAATCTAATATCAGGGATCGATGGAGGCGATGCCCGCCCCAAATTTAAATATGCATATAAGAAATATCTGTGGTATTAATTTCCTAAATTCAAGGACATATAAGTCCTGAAATATGTCTTTATATCATGAATGGGCATGAATTTTTGTTTCAACATTTGGTGAATACCTACACAAGGGACTTCACAAGAATATATCGTTATGAAGAATATACTTCCAAAGATGGAATACCATTTTTATATATTCCTAAAAGTGAAATTAGTCTTAATTTAATTTCAATTCTATTTCCTGCTTCAAACTATATTAGATGACCCTCATGGTTTCTTTAAAAAAAAAATCTGGCATATTCAATAATTAGGTGCCTGAAGTAAGAACTCTAGGAATGAGGGTCAAGATTTTGAGTCCCTTTGGCTAGATGAAAATGTTCTCCAAGATGAAAATGTTCTCCAAGGAGGCTATTATATTCTCCAAGGCTATTGTAAATATCATTCTTTTCACTGAAAAATCTCTAACTGAATTTGATATCGAGGAGGAAGTCTAATTCAATTCCATTCCCATTCAGAGCTTGAACTTCTTAAATTGCAAATGAAAGAACTTCGGATTCAGTTGGACATTTTCAAAGCTACCTTCATCAAAGTTCAACAAGGTAAGACATTTTGCAGAAGGATTTAAGCTCTTCTGGGATGTTTGTTTCCACATCTTGATGTAGCTTTGGGTTTCCCTACTCTTTCCCCATCCAAATATGAATCAGGGACAATTTGGCTTCCCAGGGAGCTCTGAGATCAGCGGCTCTGAAAACACAACAGGAATTCTCTCTTGTGGGTTTCCTCATCATACCACAGATAATTTTTGACTTACAACAGTTTAGTGATCGTTCAAACTTACAACGTCACTGAAAAGAGTGACTTAGGACTGCTCTTCACACTTACAACCATTGCAAAATCCCTATGGTGACATGATCGTAAAACGGGGCCCAACTGACTTAACAAATGCCTTATTTAAGCAACAGAACATTTTGGTCCAATTGTGGCCATTCCTCAAACGAGGTAACATCTTCAGTGTTACACTAGCACTGATGATGTTACCTGGTTGGGTAATGAAATGTCTGCAGGAAAACAGCCAAGCTCAGAGAGCATCAAGGACCCCCTCAAATTCCTTGTCTACTTTTCAGCAGCTGCCTGAAAAGCTACACAATTTTGAAAGTAGATTTTGATAATGAAAGCAATGACCCGGAGAAGTGGGATATCTCTGCTTTGTTGGCTTCAATGAGAGGATGGACAACCCTCTGTCTTTAAAACTTTAATTTAGATCCCTGAGTGGAGCAGGGTGTCCAAACTAAGATCGAGGTTGGTATAACCAAAAGGAGAAGTGAAAGCCACACATAGATGTCTAGGTGCTCATTCTTCTTTCATGTTTCCCCTTTTTAATGACACATTTTTAAAAAGTCCATAAACCAAGGTAGATAAAAGGCACGTAGAAAAGAATAAAAGAGTAAAATTAATGTTCAGTTACTTGCAGTCTAAAATGCAAGTAAGTAAAGCATGGAGATCATGGGAGTGTTACGGAGGTTACACTTTTCAATATATCATCAGTTGCTTCTCAAGTTGTGTAATGCATTATCTTACTTTTTAGACAAAAAAACCAGTTTAAAGTAGTTAAGGACATTTTTTTAAAAAATCCATAACCAATTTATATAAAAGGTATGCAGAAAAGAATAAAAGAGTAAGATGCCATTAATGCTTACTTACTTGCAATGTAAAAGGCAAGTAAGTAAAGCATGGAGATGGGGACCAGAGGTGGTATTCAGCCAGTTCTGACCAGTTCTGGAGAACCGGTAGCAGAAATTTTGAGTAGTTCGGAGAACCGGCCAATGCCACCTTTGAATGGCCCCGCCAACCCCATCTCTTCTCTGCCTCCTATTGAGTCCCAGCTGGTCAGCTGGGTCTTCTTTGGTTGCTCTGCACAGGAGAACAGAGCTATAAAGCAGGTTAGGTGGATGGAGAGGGAATGGGGATTTTGCAGTATCCTTCCCCTGCCATGCCCACCAAGCCATGCCACACCCACCAAGCCAGGCCCACAGAACCAGTAGTAACATAATTTGAATCTCATCACTGATGGGAACATCAAAGAGTAACCTCCTTCCATATATCATTAGTTGCATCTCATGTTGTGAGATGCATTGGCTTACTTTTTAAAGAAGAAAAAATGAAAAGCATTGTTAAGCTTTAAACTAAGAATATCTAGTTAACAAGGTATAAATCCCTAACTAGAGCAATGAGCTGTAATAAATCAGATCAACCCTAGGGGTTTTAGTTCTCTTCATTTGAAATATAATCTCTCAATCTAGAACAGTGGTTCCCAACCTTTTTTGCGCCCCGTACCCCTAAAGAAATTTCACTCAAACCTCGTACCCCCTGGAATAAAAATGCCAACATATAGCCAATATCCTATTATTTACCTGGACTTTTCTCGCACCCCCTGGAATATCATCTCGCATCCCCAGGTTGGGAACCCCTGATCTAGAACAACCCATGGTAGTCCATGAATGGCTCCCCATTAAAAATGAATTTGATGTCCGATTTGCTTGTTGATACAAAGTTATGTTGGACCATGGGCCCATCATTTGATTAGCTCCTGACCATGGTTTTATATTTGATTGAAAAACTTTCCTTTCCACTAAGCTGCCATAGACATAATAATGGCACAATGGCAGGTTGCAGCAAAAGTGAAGAGGGCACTTCAACATTTTGCGATTCTCCTTCCTTCTAGCGATCCTGGCTCCCAATGGAAGGATTGTTGATGAGAAAATGTTCAAAAGAGATGACTCTAAAGGAGATTTCCAGGCCGCTACCACCAAATGCGCACACATGAATAGCAAACTTGCCTTGCCAAGGAATGTGGCAGAGAACAGCGCCCTCCAAGGAATAGTAGCATTTCGTAATGAACAGGCAATTCTGGGAATCATTTACAACACAGCTAAAAAGAAGTTTGAAGATCTCAATGGCCATCCCCTACAATTTTTCAACTGGGCTCCAGGAGAACCAAATAACCTTGGCTACGAAAAATGTGTGGAAATGCACCCAAATGGCCAGTGGCATAATCGAATTTGTGATCTCGGCTGGTCAATCATCTGTGAAGTTGACATCTAATGGAAATTGGATTAGGGGAAAGAAAAGAATTCCACCATAGAGTTGAAAAAGAAAGCTTATTCTGTAGTTCACACATACAGTCTAGCATTTGGCAAGTAAGTCCTAATCCAATAGCTTCCCCTGTTTTCAGCAAGGAGATCTGGAGTCAAGTTTGACTCCATTGACTTCAGCCTTATTATTCCAATGGAAGTTGCCTTTTATCACTTAAACCAATCATCTTGGAATCCTTCCTCAGTCCTCCACTGAAATAGTGACCAGACTTGATGCTGCTTAGCTTTTACAACTCAGTGTCCAATAGATGTTGCCATCTTCCAAGTCTTCTCTAGCTTAGCCTAGATAGCAAAACCGGCATAGAAATGTAGCAGTTTATAGATCTATTTTTCTTCCATTTCTAAATAAATGCATTTCCTACCAGCATTTGTTGCTTGAGATTCTATTTTCATTTACATTGAGAGGTAGCTTATTTGACATGATCCTACAATACCCTTGCTACATTTCCCTAAAATCCTTGGACCGTTATGCAAAGGATTCTTCAGAGCTTTGGTGGTGCTAGAATTCAGGAATATTCCGATATCAGGGAATATTATTTTGCATTGAGAGATCCAGATTTGAATTTAACATGTATTACAGTTATCTTGTTGTGAGCCATGCAGCCCAAGAGGACAGAGGTGAACTATAATAGCAAAAGTCCTTATATATTGCTTCACAGTGCCTTTACAGCCCTCTCTAAGTGGTTTACAGAGTCAGCCTCCAGCCCCCAACAATCTGGGTCCTCATTTTACCAACCTCAGAAGGATGAAAGACTGAGTCAACTATGGGCCAGTCAGGATCGAACTCCAGGCTGTGGATAGAGTTAGCTTGCAATACTGAATTCTAATCACTCAGGAAGGAAGGAAGGAAGGAAGGAAGGAAGGAAGGAAGGAAGGAAGGAAGGAAGGAAGGTAACAATAGCACTTAGACTCAAATACCGCTTCATAGTGATTTTACAGCCCTCTGTAAGCGGTTTACAAAGTCAGCCTCTTGCTCCCAACAATCTGGGTCCTCATTTTGCCAACCTCAGAAGGATGGAAGACTGAGCCAACCTTGAGCTGGTCAGGATCAAACTCCTGGCAGTGGGCAGAGTCAGCCTGCAATGCTGCATTCTAACCACTGTGCCACCACGGCTCATCATAAATCCTAGCTAGCTTAGTAAAGGATGTTTGCCCTGGTAGTTTAACCAAAAGTTTTGTTTAATATTTTGATTGATTGGAATTAAAATATTTGGGTCATATCTCTGAAGATCCATGGGTCTAGTTAGCCTGTACTAATCAACAGCATCTTCTTCATCCTTTGTTTCTACAATCCATTCCCAAATTAAATTTGCTTTTCATTATCATCCCTACAAGAAAATACCGTAGGACAAAATAATATTCTAAGCTAAATCTGAGGAAAAAAGCATCGGAAAATGAAAAGGGAATGAAATTCCAGAAGTGGAAACCAGCCATTTTTCTCTCAACACACCATCTTGGCTTATTAAAGTGCCTGATTTTTATCTCAGTTAAGTCTTACACTACGGCACCGTTTGTGTCCTTAATTAATGTTCTGTGCGTTTCTTTCCCTTTTTTCTTTTCTTTGGTATGCTAAAACAAAAAAGAAAATCTCAGTGGTTCCTTTGAGAGGAAGCTACAAAGTTTTTCAGTCCACCTTTCCCTTTGAAAGTGTTCATGCCACGAGCTGGCGTTTAATGTTTTATTGATGCTAAGCAAGGAAACCCAAAGGTGTTTATGATGATATATACATAATGCATACCTGCAGATATTTCAGGATGACAGCACCCGATTTTGGGTAGTGGGGTGAGGCAAGAGCTTCTTCCTGAAAAGAAGAACCATTACAAGCTCTAGAGTGATTTGGTTGTAGATTGCAAGAAAAAATGATTCATTTTCTTTCCACAGCACCACCCTGAGACAGAAATAATTTTGCACGAAGCTCTCTAACGTAAACAAGGCTGTGAGAATATCAATCTCTAGAGTTTATTTTGGACAGATGCAGGTTGTCAAAAGTACTGTACTTCTGCTCTCATGCAGTGTTAATGAGACATCTTTGAAAAATCTCCAATGTGCCCTCAAAGGAAAAAACCCCAAAACTGTCAGAAGTTTTTGCATTAGCTGGATACAAGCAAACCTTGCAGGGAAAGAGGGCACGAGTTGTTTATATTTCTCACCAACTGCATAAAAGTAACTTTTTATATAGTGTAATAAAGTGATTTTTCCAACTTACATTCATCTCTGGCTCTTTCCTTTTTTGCTCCTTGTAAACAGGTAAAATCTCTGAAAAAGTAGGACGCTATTAAATTCCTGCCCCAAGCCCTGGAAAACATTCTCCACAGGAAGTACATCTTTTTGCGACAGGCCATTAGTGCCAGGACACACAACAATACAACACCAGAGTCTTACTTACTAGAGTTCTTGAACATCTTAACAAATCACCTTTTTTTATCTCAGCTGGCAGTAGCACCAGGCAGACACCTGAGTCCTTTCAAAACCTCCACATTTTTTTCCTAAATTGGCCCCTCTGGCAACTGAACTTTTTGATATCTTACTCACCACTCATGGCTGATTTGCAACACCTGATTCAGACCTTCCCTTACCTAGGACAACTTCTTCCTCATGGCCCACAATCCCCTCTCAGCTGAGTCACCATTGTCATCACAAACAGCTGGACCTGCCACCATAGTATCCCTATTAAGTTCAGCAAAGGGGCCATAACTGTTTTGTTAACACCAAAAGCTTCATGTTTATGGTCCACAGCTCTGACACTGCCCAGATCCAACCATTGTCCACACTGCAGGGTGCTTGTGGAAGACAGAGGTTGATAGCAGGGCAGCTCAAAAAAGCAATTAATTGGCCAACTGAGTTCAGCCTGAAGAGCACAAACATTCTAGACAAGCAATCTGTCCATGTAAACTAGTAATCTAGCAAGGCTCAGAAAAATATCTGATGCTTCAATGTACCTTCTGCTCTGCTTTCTCACAGCGTACTTATCCCAGGAGCTTCCATGAAAAGAGTTTGGCCCTGGATGTGACCTGTGGTTCCTTTTTTCCCCCATTTTGGATAATTGGGGAAGGTTAAAAGCCGTGGGTATCGTTAAGCCACCCATTGCTCAAAGAGTTGGATTGAAGTGGTTTATAAGTCTGATCAATCAGTCAGTTAGTCAATTCCAAAGAGTTACTGAATTCAGCCCTGTGCAAATGGATCTGATCTGGAACCTGAAAGTGGTTTTGTAATAGATAAACTGGGTGAAAGTTTATGCTAAGGTACTGCGCACATGTCAGTAAGTGGAACTATGCAAAGATTACTTTTGCAATCCAATATCTTGTGCAAGAGCAGAGATAGAGAAAAACACTTCTGCATACAATTTGCTTTTCCTGTTGCTTTTCTTGCTGTTGAGAAGAGAAGTGAATCTACTCCTTCTGGAGCGATCTTCATCTCTTTCCAGGGTGAAGGAACTGCTTCAGCGGATCAAGGAACGCTCCGGTAAGCAACGCTGATTTCATGTTCAGCTCAAACTCTGCTTTGTAAATCTCTATAGCAAACCTTTTTGCCATTTCTGCATCTATCTCCTTCTCCTGAGAAGCTTGAATCATAGGATCCCCTAAGATCTGGAGAACTCAGGCTGAATGACCAATTAAATAACTCAACAATGTCACTACTTGGTTTGTTTGTTCATTTATTTATTTAGCACATCGTCACTTCTACTTGGTGAATGTTGCTGATGAGGATGTAGCTTTGAACATCATCCAGATACCTCGCACAATCAATTTTGGCCTATGAACTCTAAATGATGAATAAAACTACGTAGCACTAAATAATCTCTCCTTAATTTTGTTCTTGATCCAAGGTACCAACCATGTTTTTCTGCCAACCTTTCCACACGTTGCTGCTGCTCTTCTTAGGAGCATCGCTGATTTTGGCTGCTGCTCCAGAGACAAGGAGTTCAGATCCAAATTCCTGCCCAGTATTGGCTTGTGGCAACCCAGGAATTGCTGGTTTACCAGGGAGAGATGGAAGAGACGGGGCCAAAGGAGAGAAAGGAGACACGGGTATAATTTCTGAAATCTCTCTCTTTCTCAATCACACATACAAAGTGTGTTCATTACATATCGCTATAGATTTAATCTTATTTCTGTATTTGAACAAAAAGGAGGAGGACCTTTAACACAAAAGTTATAGATTCTTCTTCACTTTTTGTCATGTTAGAAAACTGCCAGCTGGAAGGAGAGGTTAAGTGGGGATCTAGCTTAGAGACTTCCAAAGCAGCAAGCAGCAGAACACTTGACCTCCCCCAAGATCCATGAAGTTGGTCCATCTGGTCATTCCCATGGGAAGGCAAGAGTCTGAGGAAAATTGTAGAATAACGTTGTTTACTTTACCTATCTGAGAATGGCTTTGGTTTGCATGCAACTGATCCTTCAGCCTAGCAGAACATCATGTCATCAGCAGGCATCTTTTGAGTTGCTGATGTCTGATGGATAGATGCCGGGTGGGGTTCGGGGAAGGGGGTGGCTATTTTGGGGGAATGGAATCCAAGAGATGTTGCTTTGTCTCAAACCCCAGGCCTCCAAGTGAAGGGTCAACCAGGATTCCCCGGTAAGGCTGGTCCTGCTGGACCGAAGGGAAACACCGGAGCCCCAGGACAAAAAGGACAAAAAGGAGAAATGTCAGGTAGGAAATTTTTCTTTGATGGTGAGCTTTGCCTGCATGAGAAGGAAGGGGAGTTTCTGATATTTCCAAGAAGAGCTCAAATATGGCTTATTTTGCAATGTTCATCAATAGCAATTGGCAACATTGTGCCTCGCTTTGTGAGCCTCGTGTCACTTCTGGCGGGTAGGAATTCCTCATCTCCAATCTTGGAAGAACAAATGCAAACTCCTTGATTGTTCTAATTCAAAAAAGATCTTGAATTCCTGATTTAAGAGTGAGTAAGGTTACCTCAGCCAAACCGGTAAGAATTTCTCAATTTATAGCTGGCCCAAACTCGCATTTATTCTTTATTTTCATCTAAATCCTCTTATTTAAGCTAAACACTGACAAATCTTAAAATTATTTAAATGGCAATATGTTTTTAAGAAGCCCTCCTTTCTAATTATACATTTAAGAAAAGTAAATAAAAGCATTGCATTTATCTGTCAATATGTACACTAATTCATCCTATATTTGTCAATACCTGCATTCAGGATGGGCATTGAGTTATTGATTATAGGGGCTCCATTTGCCACAAGTTGCTTCTCGGTGGGTTATTTCTTTATTTTCAATACAGATTTTTCTGATCTAGATATAACAGACCAGGAGTGTCCAACCTTGGCAACTTTAAGACTTGTGGACTTCAACTTCCAGAATTCTCCAGCCGGCATGAAAATAAATGGAAGTTTTGGTGTTTGATTAGTTTTCTCTGTTTTTCTCTGTAGCTGTTGATACAGTCCAAAGGCAGGTGGCTGCTTTGGAAAAGACGGTCCAGACATTACAAGCTGAAGTCCGCAAAAGCCAAAAAAGTAAGAAAGAATATGGGTTTGGGGGTTAGCTGTTGGTTTGCATTTGTGTGCAATATCTGGAGGAAGGAAAAGAAAGTAACGATGAGCAGTGTGGCCAACTCACTCCCTTCCATTCAGTGATGAGGAAAGTAAGGCTCTACATTTAGGCAAGAAAATCAAATGCACAGAGACTTAGCTCAATGGCAGTAACTGCAAAAGGGATCTTGGACAATCACCTAAACATGAGCCGTCAGTGTCCTGCAGGAGCCACAAAAAGCAAATGCAATCCTGTGTTGCATTAACAGAGGGATAGAATCAAGATCACATGAAGTGTTAGTACCACTTTATAATGGCTTGGTAAGGCCACACTGAATTTTATTTTGTCAGGTAGGGCCCAGTGTCAATAAGAAAATGACAGACTCAGAAAGGACCTTGGAGGTCTTCTAGTCCAACCCCCTAATCAAGCAGGAGACCCTATACCATTCCAGACAAGTGGCTGTCCAGTCTTTTCTTTAAAACCCCCAGTGATGAGCACCCAACAACTCCTGGAGGGAAACCGTTCCACAAACAAATTGATCTCAGGATGTCAGGAAACGTCTCCTTAATTCCAGGTTGCTTCTCTCCTTAATTAGTTTCCATCCATTGTTTCTTGTCCTGCTTTCAAGGCTTTGGAGAATAGCTTGAGCCCCCCTCTTCTTTGGGGCAGCCCCTCAAATAGCGGAACGCTGCTATCCTATCTCCCCTGGTCCTTCTTTTCATTAGGCTAGACAGACCCAATTCCAGCAACTGTTCTTTGTATGCTTAGCCTCCAGACCCCTAATCCTCATTGTTGTTCTCTACATCTTTTTTTTATAATATGGAGATCAAAATTGGATATACTATTCCAAGTATGGTTTTGCACAGTGGTGGGATTCAAATAACATTGCCGCCAGTTCGGTGGGTGTGGCTTGGTGGGTGCACTTTGCACGCAGGCACACACTTTGCGGGCATGTGCGTGCAAAATATGCCCTTTGCGCAGGCTCAGAGGCATTTGTGCAGGTGCAGAGGTGTTCTAACTCACTCCTACAAGCCTGCACAATCCCAGTTGCTCCATCAGCTGCCCTGCGGCACTATTCTGTGCCGCGCAAAGCAGCTGTGCTTCAAATTCTGCAGATAAAAGTGAGTAAGGGAGCCCAGGTAGGCAGGTGGGCCCAACAGCAGAGCCAGCAGAGAGAACAGGTTCAGTCTCCACTGCTCATTGCTCCTACCAGCTCTCCAGAACTGGGCAGAACCAGTCGAATACCAGCACTGGTTTTGCAAAGGCTTTATAAAGCCTTCAACTCTATCAAAATCCATTTAGATTTTGCCTACCTGCTGGAGTGTAGTGAAGAGAAGGTCCAGGGGAGACAGTGTCCCAATATTTGAGGGGCTGCCAGAGAGAGGAAGGGGGTCAGGGTATTTTTCAAAGCACCCGAAGGCCAGACAAGGAATAATGGATGGAAACTGAACATGGAGAGATTCAACTTGGAAATAAGGAGGAATTTCCTGACGGTGAGGACCATTAACAGAAATTGGAACAGAAGTTGCCTTCAGAAGTTGTGGGAGTGCCTTCACTTGAGACTTTCAAGGAGACTGTCAGAAATGGGGTAGAGTCTCCCACTTGGGAGGGGGCTTGGACTCGATGACCTACAAGATCCCTTCCAACTCTGATTACCTGTTATCTGTGTTTGGGTTTTTTCACCAGCTTGGTGTTGTCTGCTCATTTGATAAGTTCCCCTTCTATTCCCTCATCTAAATCATGTATGAAGATGTTGAAGAGTACTGGGTCTAAGACAGAACATTGGGGTACCCCACTGCTTACTTCCCTCCATGTAGAAATAGTTATACATAAATTCATGTAAGTGTTTTCTGCCCAGTGAGATGGCAATATTTATTTTTATTAGCTGATGTCAAAAGAAACCCAAACAAAAAACAACAAGAAAACATTTTTTTTAACATCTATTAGATATTGATCTTGTTCAACTTTTCAAACCACATAGATATTTCCCCCTCTGCTCACCCCATGTTTTTGAATTTCCAAAAAAACTCCTTGAAGAGCATTCAAGAGATTTAAATCAGGTGGCAAATAAATAAGAATGGCTGCAGGGAATATAATCAATGGGCAAAGTGCTTTGCAGAATACACATATACACAGTTCCCCGAGGGGAAAATAAATTAAGCTGACAATGTCTCTATAAGGAAGGCAGAAAAGCTACAAGGATTAAGAATCCTATAGGGAATATCCACCCACAGCTATCCTAATGATTTCTGGACAAAACTCAGTTTTGCATTGGGCTAGATTGTGTTACTTGATTGGAAAGGGTGAACTGGTGGCCCTGGTTAGACTTGCATGGAGAATAGGCTTCACTGTGTGAATAAACCACAGTGAAGAAGGCAGTGGAAAACCTGGTTAGCTAGTGGGCCTGGTTAGTCTTGCATGGAGAATAGGCTTTGCTGGGGAATAAACCACAGTGAAGAAGCCATCACGAATCATTTTGACATGGTTGCCAGCTAAATCCCTAAGCTAAGTTAGAAGGAGACCTGTCACTGTGCACCTTCAATGTTTGCCTTGAGTTACGTTGATTTGTTGGATGGAAGCTGTTTTCATGGGTGATTTGTTTTCTACCTAGTCTTCGCAATGCTGGGGGCGACCACGGTTGGAGGGAAAACCTTCGTTTTTACTGGTCAGACTCACAATTTTGCCAGCGGGAAAGCTCTCTGCAGCAATGCCGGTGGAGCTCTGGCAGTGGCCATGAATGTGGCTGAGAACACGGCCTTGGCGGCCATGGCCAAGCGGAACGGCAAGCAGATATACCTGGGTATGAGTGACCTCCAGACGGAAGGCCAGTTCGTGTATTTGAACGGACAAGCGGTGAGGTACACTAACTGGAAACGCTCTGAGCCTAACAACTTGAACAACGAAGACTGTGTGGTACTCATTCCAGATACCCTGTGGAATGACATTAGCTGTGACCACCAAACCCACATCGTTTGTGAACTTTGATCTATCTAGAACGTCGCTGTTTGCATTCTCAGGGGGCGTCCATGGGAAAAGAAGGCAAGGGGCTCAAGGGATGCCATGCCATTGTCAGGCCATCATTGGTGCTCTTAATGCCATGACGCCATGACACATTTTTGACATCTTTGCGGCTTGCTATCCATGTTCTAGGAGAGGGCAAAATAACTGCATGAGTACATCAGTTTTGCTTTCCAGGCTGAAAATGCAATTGTGATAACAATACAAAAACAAAAAGACGCAAGAGAGGTACTGTCTCCATTTCTCTCCACACGTGTTTTGTCTCACAGTATTTCATTGTTATTATATTTTTGAGAAGCGTCCTTCCAAGTTTCTGGACTCTCAGGAAAAGCTGTTGCGCAGAATGAGAGAAAGAGCAAATTGTGGAATGAACGGTCCTCTCCTTTAAATCTGGTAACTTCTCGGATGTTTCGTTCGGGTCAAGCTTTTGAAAAGGCCTCCAAAATTCTGAGAAGTAGAACATCGAATAATAGAGAGATGGAAGGGACCTTGGAGGTTTTGTAGTTCGGCATTCCCCAAATTTTCTGGATTGGCGGCCCAGCGGGGGGAGGGGAGAGGCAATGGTTCTGCAGGAACAGCAGGGCTACGCACATACACAAGTTCATTTGTGTGAGTGGCATGCACGCTGACCCACTGCCAGTGGCGGATTAAGACTCACTGGTGCCCCAAGCACTGACAAATCTTGGTGCCTGCCCGCTCCTTTTTACTTACTGTACAAACGAAGACATATTCTCAACCCTAACCCTAACCCTAACCCTAACCTTTTGGGCCTAGTGCCTTAAGCACATGCTTAGTCCGCTTCATGGTTAATACGCTGTGCCCAATGTGGGTGTGAGTGAGGCTGAGAGTGCTGGTGCGCACTGCTCATGTGGACGGGGTGCAAGCTGGCCAGCACTCACGCAGCCTGGTTGCAAATAGGCCATGGCATGGTAGTGAGCCACAGCCTGCAGGCTGGGAATCCCTGTTCTAGTCCCACCCCCTCCTCAAGCAGGAGATCCTATACCATTCCAGACAAATTGCTGTCCAGTCTCTTCTTAAAACCCTCCAGTGATGGGGCGTCCACAACTTCTGGAGACAAGCTGGTCCCACTGATTAATCATTCTCAATGACAGGAAGTTTCTCCTTAGTTCTAGGTTGCTTCTCTCCTTGATTAGTTTCCACCCGTTGCTTCTATCTGGTAGGTCTAGTCATATTATTCACATGTATTAATAATTTTGGAGGTGGGGGGAGATTGAAAGTCTGTTCTTCTCAAAGCATTTAAGAGGACTAGACTTCTTTCTCTTTCAGAAAACCAAAGCTCCAGTTCCAACATAGGAATTTTTGACCTGTGTAGGATCCCTAGTATGGTAGACTAATAATAAGAGATTAACAGAGTTGGAAGGGACCTTGTAGGTCATCATCTCCAACCCCACCTCCCGCCCAAGCAGGAGACCCTACACCCTTTCTGACAGATGGCAGTCCGGTTTCTTCTTGGAAGCTTCCAGTGAGGAAGCTAATAACCAGAGACCCTATGAAAGGACTTCCTTTGCAAGTAGAGAACACTTCCACACCAGTAGTGTTCCATAGTTTATATGACATTCAGATTCACCCATCACACTCATATGCACAAACACAAACACAAAGACCAAAAAACTGTGTTCTGAACTTCCACACGCTGGCAAGACCAGTAAAATATTGAGACGGTAGGACTGGCTTGTTTGGGGAAAGAGTTTGCCTCCCCCCTTGTGGCCACCTTCAGAAGTATACCTGCACTTCTCCATGTGTTGTGTGATAGGACTTCCTATGAAGTCTGCTAGACCAGGGGGTCTCAATCCAGGGGCCACAGGCCACTAGTGGGCTATGAGGGGCTTGCAACTGGGCCACGGAAACAGCCAGCAAGCATGCATGTGTGCGTGGATTTAAATGAGTGGAAGGTGTGCATGCACGCTGCACACACAAGTGGAGTTGCACACTTATGCACACGCTTGCCAACCGCCCACATGGAAGCATCCCCTCTCCCTTTCCCACCTGTCCACAAAGCCATAAACATTGGGGAATTATGTGATGGACATCCAACATTAAACCAATGCTTCACCCTTCCAATTCTTCAGTGACACAAAAGGGTCGATTTCAGAGGTGGGATTCAGCCAGTTCGGACCAGTTCTGGAGAACTGGTAGCGGAAATTTTGAGTCATTCAGAGAACCAGCAAATACTGGCTCTGATTGGCCCTGCCAACCCCATCTATTCTCTGCCTCCCATTGAGCTGTAGCTGATTGGCTGGGTCTTCTTCGGTTACCCTGCCCAGGAGAACGGAGCAGGAAGGCAGGTTAGTGGGGTGGGGAGGGAAGGGGGATTTTGCAGTATCCTTCCCCTGCCACACCCACCAAGCCACGCCCACCAAGCCAAGCCACGCCCATAGAACCAGTAGTAAAAAAAATTGAATTCCACCACTGGTTGATTTGTGTCTGCTATGCTCACCATGGGGTCTTGTCAAGGCTTCTTGTGCACTTTGAGATCTCATCCATCCATTCTACTTCTTTATAATTAGATGATATGGAGAAGAAAGATCAGGTTAGAGATTTTAATAATAATATTTTACACTTTTCATGTACAGAGCTCTTCCCTTCATCCTGAATTGATGAATTGATAAACCAGCATTCGTTATGAAAGCCATCCTGCCTATGCTCGGATTGAGTGATTAATGATGATGTGACATCAAGTCCTTTTCAGCTCCTAGTGGCCACCAAGATAGATTTCCTCCAAGATGTTCTATCCTTAACTTGTTCTTTCAGGTCTTCCTACAACCCTCATTGTCAGTGGAATTGAGATATGCTCCAATGAAAAGGTCTTCAAATTTGACAGCTTTAAGACTGGTGGACTTCAACTCTCAGAATTCCTCCTCCAGTCATGTTAGCTCAGGAATTCTGGGAGTTGAAGCCCATAAGTCTTAAAGCTGTCAAGTTTGAAGACCCTTGCTCCAATGCAATGGTCAACCTCATGTACTTAGGATTCATGGGTGGCTAGGATACTGAAAATATATTAAGTGGAAGGCAGAATGTATAACACCAATTGTTAGAAACTTATTTGTTCTGACCAGGAGGCCATTCTTTTCCTCCTCCAAGAATAATGGATGGAAACTGATCAAGGAGAGATTTAGCCTAGAAATAAGGAGAAATTTTGTGACAGTGAGAACCATCAACTGATGGAACAGAAGTTACCTTCGGAGGTTGTGGGAGCTTCATCACTGGAGGCTTTCAAGAAGACAATGGACTGCCATCTATCTGAAATAGTGTAGGGTTTCCTACTTGGACTAGATGACCTCTGAGGTCCCTTCCAACTCTGTTAATCTGTTAAGGTCAACTTCAAACGTTTCCAAAAAGATTGCCAAATTTCTAATAGCTATTGCTCATTGCAATTGCCTGATGCCTCCTTCATACTACTAATTGCTTTTAGGCTGTGCAATGTTGTTTTATAACTTTAAGTTTGATATATAATTGCATTGCCATGTTTTCAAAAGTGGGTTAACAATAACAATAGCAATAAAGCTTCTTTGTATTCTACATCTACATAGCACATATCTTTCAACCACTTCCATACAAACAGAACTTGCTAGAGTTCTAGATTTTTCCAAGTGAAAAACGCGACAAATCAAATCCAGCTTCCTTATTTAAATGAGTGAATAGCAAATCCTGGACAGACAAGACCAGGCCGAGAATATTTTAAGTTTGTGCCTTGTGCTACTGCAGACTTCTAACAACTTACAGCCACACATATGCTGTTCACAGTTGTTAAAAGGGAAAGGTTCACCTTGCACATATGTGCCAGCTGTTTCTGGCCCTAGGGGCCATCGGTGCTCATCTCCGTTCCAAAGCTGACAAGCCAGTGCTGTCCAAAGACATCTCCGTGGTTATGTGGTTGGCATGACTAACACCAAAGGTGCACGAAATGCTGTTCCCTTCCCCACCAAAGGGGTTCCTATTTTTCTACTTGCATTTTTACGTGCTTTTGAACTGCTAATTTGGCAGAAGCTGCGACAAAGAATGGGAGCTCAATCCATTGTGCGGTGCTAGGGATTCGAACTGCCGAACTGCCGACTTTTCTGATCGACAAGCTCAGCGTCTTAGCCACTGAGCCACCGCGTCCCATTCATAGTTGTTACGTGACTATATAAAAGGATTTTGGATTGTCAACAGTCTGTTCTTTTCACTCAATGCCAACACAATGCAGGGAGCAAAGGAGAACCAGCACCTGATTAACTTCACAATGTATTATTTTTCAGAAACAGCTATCTGCATGACTCAGATGTGTACCGAACACTTCCCAGCCTGACCAAACAGATCCTTTAACAAAAAACAAATAAATGTCTTAAATAACACCAATTATTTAGAGAGGCTTTCTTTCCTTAGCCATTAAACTTTATGGAGAGTCTCTGCTCACCGTTTAATGTTGCTTTAATTATACATTAGCTCTCTTTGCCCCCCATTGAAGCTTAGGCATATGGTGCTAATGGGGTTTTTATAGGTGTTCCGATTAGCCAATTTGCACAAAGGAGAGGGACTTTTTTTGTTGGTCTGTTGTTGTTGTTTTAAAGCTACAAACTACTTCCTAGGTGTTTTGAATGAGGAAGAGGCCGTGCATTGTGCATGCTTGAAGAAGTGATCCCGTTGAAATAATTCAGAGGATCGCCTGAGGGCAGCCGAGAGTTAATTTTGGGTAACTCTTAGCTCCCATCTTAACGCCCAGCCAGAATTCTGCAATCCAGATACGACTCTCCTAATTATGCAATTGTAGATATTCCAAATATTGGAACACATAAAATATTCCAAATGGATGAGAGACATCCATTTCACAGGAATGGTATAAAGCCTCCTGCCTCAGGCAAAGGTTTGAAATAGAAAACCCCCACAAGGTCCCTTCCAACCTGATTATTCCGTGATTCTTTAAATTCAACTTTCTTAGATGCTTAATTGTACTACAGAATCATAGAGTTGGAAGAGACCTTGTAGTCATCTAGTCCAACCCCTCTGCACAACCCTTCCTGCCCAAGCAGGAGACCCTACACCATTTCTGACATTCCAGATGGCAGTCCAGTCTCTTCTTGAAAGCCTCCAGTGATGAAGCTCCCACAACTTCTGAAGGCAACTTCTGTTCCATGGATGGGTTGTTCTCACTGTCAGAAAATTCCTCCTTATTTCCAGGTTGAATCTCCCCTTGATCAGTTTCCATCCATTATTCCTTGTCTGGCCTTCAGGTGCCTTGGGAAATAGCTTGACCCCTTCCTCTCTATGGCAGCCCTTCAAATATGATACATGCAGTCCTCACCTTACAACAGAGCCCAAACTTTCTGTTACTGAACATTTTTAAGTGAGTTTTGCCCCATTTTATAACCTTTCCTGCCACAGCTGTTAAGTGAATCTGCCTTCCCTTTTGACCTGGCTTGTCAGAAGGGTAGAAAACTTGATTTCATGATCCCAGACACATTGCAACCATCTGTGATGACCCAAAGGGACGTGGCACAAAAGCAACAAAGTCACAAAAGTAAGTAAAGTCCCTTTAATTCCTCCAACTTGGCCTCCAGTGTCCAGTTATCCTCGGATAGAGAAAAAACTCTCCCAAGAACAGTCTTTAAAGGGAAGAAATTCAGTCCGAACCCAAAGTACATATAAATTATAAATAAAACCCCACAACAAACCATGTTGCAGCAATTAACGAGACAGGGCAGGGTAAGGAATTGCAGACTTCAAAAGGTAATGAAATACACACGGTTGGGAGCACACAGTTGGGAGGACGCCAGAACCCAGATAAGACTTGACAAACAAAGATAATTCACGCTTTGCTTCCAGCAAGGTGCTGTGCGCAAATACCCTTTATATCCTGTTTTCCCAGCTGCAGCTAATGAAGGGAATCAGGGCCCTTTTCTCCCCTGTAAGCCACGTTGCTCCCTTCTCCATTCCTCCCTGCATGCCCTAGGATGAAGAGGGGGTGGGCCTGGGTCTTCCTCTGAATGCCCAGCTGTGGGCATTGGAGAAGGACTGTGCCC